TCCACGGAGCCCCGGGGCTGGCAGCGGCTCCGGCGCCTGCTCCAGGCCGCTCGCTCTCGAGGAAGAGTTTGGGGAGCTGCATTTTGGGGTGGCGAGTGGGGCTGACTCTATCAGGGACCACTCCTGGAGTATGGGGTGCAGGCCTCAGGTTCGAATCCAGAATTTGGAGAAGGCTTGGGCACGGCTGGCACACGCTGCTGCCACTGAAGGAGGCTGGCGGTGGTGGAATGTGGCCGGAAGTCTGTGGGCTGCCCCTCCTGGGGCCAGGGAGACCCTCCCTTTTCTGGGCCGGCTGCCTGGCGACAGGGGCACGGCTGGCTTGTATGCGGCCTCAGGATGGGGACCTGGGCAGGAGGGGCAGTCTGACCCCACCCAGCTCTGGGTCGGGGAGTGAGCCCAAGGCCTTCAGCCAGCCCCTGCCCCAGCAATGGCTTGTGGCCAGAACCAACTGCTGTCCTGCTTAGGAGAGAGGGGCGGGTGAGGGGAGAAGGAGATGGAAGCCGGCGAGCGGGAGGTGGTGAGAGCTGGTTTCTAGAATAGACGGCGGGGGAGCTGGATTTGAATCTGGATTCCTGTTCTCACCAGTTCTGACTTTGGACGAGGCCTCAGTTTCCCCATCTGTAAAATGGGGACAATAATCATACCAGGTCCCAGGGCCGCTCTGGGGAGGACGTAGGATCATTAACGTGGTTCTTAACACAGAGGACGTGCTCAGTAAGTAGGCTGTTTAGAAAACCAAACCAAAGAAGGAAGAAGGTTGTGGCTATTGCTGTTAGTATACTTTTTTCCTGAGATAAATACTGTGAACAATTCCCATGCCGCTAGTGAGAAAACGGAGGGCCACAGAAATCAAAGCAGTGGGTGAGTTGGGGTGGGCCAGGCTCTAAGTTAGGTACATAACATGCTACAGGTGCCAAAGGAAGCTAGCAGGACACCACCTGCGGTCGGTGCTGGCTGTGGGTGGTTGGCGTGTGTGGCGTGTTTGTGTTGTGTGTGTAGGAAGGTGATGTGGGATGGGGCAGACGTCCGTGGGAGGTGGGTCTGTGCCCGGGAAGAGACAGGAAGCCCTCAGATGTGCCTTCAGAGCCTCGAGTGAGTGGGTGAGGCCGAAATCCCCCCGGGGAGCTGTGGCGGCTGTTGCCCTGGTGGGAGGGGGGACCTGGGTTGATGTCTGGGAGCTGCACTGGGCTGGGGGCTCACCCCAGCCTCTTTATCCCATAGAAGGTCCCCCCCACCCCCGGAGCCTCAGAGAGGAGGCTTGGGAGGTAGGCAGGGGCTCGATGACAAAGATCGTTCCCACCTGGGGACGTACCTGTGGGTGGTTCGGGCGGGCGGGGCGGAGCTCGGAGCAGGGAAACAGCCGTTCCTGTGCCTTAGGGAGCTGGGCTGCTGAGGGTGAGGCTGCGGTGGAGGGGGGAGCCCAGTCCCACTCGCACCCTGTCCTGCGGGAGCCTGGGGGCAGAGCTGGGGGGAGAGTTGGACCTGTGGGGTTCTTGTTGCTCCTGGGCAGCCCTGGGTCAGGGAGTCAATAGTTAACCCCCCACCTGGAGGGGTGTCCCGGGCAGAGAGCAGCGCTGACTGTTCTAGGAAGGCCCGGGAGACAGGCCGCCTCTTAGGCAGCGGGGCCAGGTGACCTAGAGGCCGGTGACCTGCCTCCCAGCTCGCAGGAAAGGCGGGGAGATGGTTCCTGAGTCGGCTGCTTGTGTGAGCCCCGCGGGCAGACCTGGGAGCTCTGTGCCTGGAGAGCTGCCGCCGAGGTCCCATCTGTGCAGTGGGCTCTCACAGGTGCCCCCCTCCATGGTGGCTGAGGGGCTCAGATAAGGTACCCTGTCTAAAGGCTTCTTAGCAGGGGAAAGCTAGCAGCTGATGGCTTTCACCCCCCCTGGGGTCCCTGCGTTGGGCCCTCTGCCTGCTGGGTGGTGAGCGGGGGGCTGATTTGGCCGCCAGGTTTCCCCTGTCTCTGCCACAGTCGTTGAGCATGTATTTGCGGGCGCCTCCTGGGGGCAGAGCCAGAGATCCAGGATGGCCCAGACCAGCTGGGCGCTGGGGACCATAAGCCATTGCAGTCCCGTCCGGAGGCCCCAACCCGGCCTGGGGTGGGCGGGCAGGAAGGGCTTCCGGCCGAGGCACCTGAGGGCAGGGGTCAGGTGTGCAGAGGGGGCAGGGTGCCCTGGGCAGAGGACACGGCCCTCCCCTGCCCCCCCGAAAAGGCCTGTAGCCCCCCGAGGTCTTTCCCAGAAGCCCAGGGGCCTCCTGCCTTTTCGGGAGGACGGAGTGTTTCCGTGTCAGAGGCCACCCCCGCTGCCCCCCTGGGGATGGATGGGGCCACAGAGTGTGGCCTGAATGGTGGAAGCTGGGCAAGATGGATTATCCCTCCCACATCCTGGGGCAGGGCCACCGGATAGCGCCTGCTGACCCCGGGTCACCGCCCGTCTCCGTCCAGCGCGCCAGGGAGAAAATCGGTAATGGGAGGCTGGCTCTGGCAGGGCAGCTCCCCGCGGGGCCCGGGTGAGGAGATTGGTTTGACCTCTGGTCGATAAGGTCTCCTGTGAGCAGGAGGACGCTTGGAGGACAGGGAGGGAGGCCGGACGCCTGCCCCTGGGGGAGGGGCCAGGGCCAGGCCACCTCGGGAAGGTTGAGGGCCACGGGTGGGAGGTCTTAGGACACATGCCCACGGGGGGGGGGGGCTCCCTCCCTGAGCATCAGGATGTGACAGGATCGGGTCCTGGCTGTGGATGGTGGTGGGAGCGGGGAGAAGAGGGAGGGAGCTGGCGATGAGGGTGGTTGAGTGAAGGGTGTGCAGCTCGGTGGGCCAGCGGCCAGGCTCCGCGTCACCAGACTGTGAGTCAGAGCAATCGACGTACCCTTTCCGAGCCTCAGTTTCTCCATCTGTTAAATGGCCGTGTTAAGCATCCTCACGTCACAGGGTTGTCCAGACGACCAAAGGCAGCAGTACCTTCGCAAATTGTGTCTGTGCCTCAGAAGTGCCTCCTCAGGGACAGGGCCTGTGATCTGCTTGCGCCGCAAGAGGCTTCTGTTGGCGGGCTCCCCGGGGAGCCGCTCGAGGGCTGCCTGACCTTCTCCCAGTAGTTTCCTACCGAGAACCTACTCTGCACCCGGCACTGTGCTAGGGCTTCATGCGTTTAGGGCCAGCACCCTTGTTTTAGAGGCGAGGGTACAGGCCCAGTGAGGTTAGTAACGTGCCTGGGGTCCCTTAGCTAGGGAGCGGCACGCCCTGGGTTTTGAACCTCGGTCCTGCGCCTGATGGCCCTGGTCGGGCGGGGGAGAGGGGGGGCCGGGGGGGTGCAGGGGGCAGCAAGACGGGGCTGAAAGCTGGGCTTTGGGGCCACGAGGTCTGGGCTGCCATTGCCTGCTCTGTGACCTCGTCCATTCAGCTTTGGAGCCTCAGTTTCCTCATCTGTAATGTGGGTTAACCCATCCAATCGGAGGATGGCAGTGAGGGTTAAATGACGTGGTCCTGCGGAAGTGCCTGGGGGTCCCGGCTGGGGTGGAGGATGATGTGCAGGTCAGCTGGGGGACAGAGGCCCCGGGCTGGGCCTGGGGTGTAGCCATGAGGGAAACACGGTCCCTGATCTGGCCGCTCACAGCTGAGGGCTGATGGAGCGGCAGCCCAGGTCCCAAGAGCTCTGCTGTGGGCTGAGCGGGCTGAGGTCCTGTGTGCTTACATGGGAATAAACCTGGAACTTTAAGAACTGTTCAGCTTTCTGGTTAAGATGAGTTAGGGCAGGCGCGCCATTAGCAGGCCATAGAAAAACCCAATTTAATGTTAAATGGAATGACAGGACTCAGATCTTTTCGATGTTAATTTGTTCATTTCTTTTTTCATTCATTCAACAAATGTTTGAGTTTCTACTGTGCTATACATGCTGGGGATAGAGCAGCCAACGACAAAGGGAGCATTTCAGCCTTCCCGGTGCTGCCAGTCTGCTCGGGGAGGACAGACAAAAACCAGACAAAGAGATGTTATGGCAGGTTGATAAATGTTAGAAAGAAAAACAAAGCGTGGTTGAGAGACGGATAGTGACAGAGTGGGGCCTGGCCTCAGAAAAGCAGTCAGGATGTGACATTTGAGCAGAGACCCAAAGGAAGCAGGGAGGCCAGAATGTGAAAATCTGGGGAAAGCCTGGAAGCAGTGGGAGGAGCCAGTGCAAAGGCCCTGGGGCAGGTGTGCACTCTGTGTTTGACATGCTCTGAGGTGTGAAGTGGCAGTCGTGGAACTGGAGAGGGGGTGATCGGAGATGAAGGCAGTCGGGGTGGGGACCTCATCTAAATGTGATGGGAGGCCCTGGAGGGGGAGGATCACACGAGGGAGGCGAGGCGACTGGGTTTGCTGGAGAATAGACAACCAGGGGGCAAGGATGGGAGCAGGAGCCCGCGAGGATGTGGGAGCAAGTTGTGCGGGTGAGAGGCTGTGTTGGCGAAGGGAGGCTGGAGAGTAAGTGTTGGCGTCGCCAGAGGCGGCTTCTCGGAGGATGTGGTCCGACATGAACTAAAGCTCCAGGGATACAGGGCGTTGTGATGGCGATGCAGAGCGAAGGCTTCTCCAGCAGAAGACGGGATGTGGGGAAATGCTTGGTGGCCTGGGGAGCATGAGGACCCTCAGGGCATGGGAGGGGCTCCCTCAGCATCAGGCCCATTCTTTCCGGGATGAGATGAGACTTGTCAGGCCTCCCTTCTCCCCACCAAGGACCCGGACAGCGGTCATACGCTCCCCATCCCGCTCCATCTCCATATCCTCACGGTCCCCTGGGATGTGGCCGGAGCAGGGGCTCTGGAATCTGAGACCAAGCAAATGGTGTGCCCAAGGTCGAAAGAGAAACCTCCGTCCGTTCGTTCGGCACTTCTTGCTCTGATGTGAGGCTGTGGTGGGAAGATAGCGAGCTTTGTTTCAAACAGACCTGGGCCTGATTCTTATCTTCGCCGCTTCCTGGCATGGCCACCTGGGGCAGCTTGCCTCACCTCGCTGCCTCATGTGGGAGATGGGGGTGGCATCGGGGCAGCTGTGCGTGGGCGCCGAGGCCTGGCCCAGAGCTGGCGTAGAGGAGGCCCTGGCCTGCAGGGGACCCCGGACTTCCAAGGGTCTCACCGTCGCCCCTTGCCCTGCCCAGGTGCTGGCGGCCGAGGAGAACGTGGACTTCCGGATCCACGTGGAGAACCAGACGCGGGCTCGGGACGATGTGAGCCGTAAGCAGCTGCGGCTGTACCAGCTCTACAGCCGGACCAGTGGGAAGCACATCCAGGTCCTGGGCCGCAGGATCAGCGCCCGTGGCGAGGACGGGGACAAGTATGGTAGGTGCCAACCCCCTCCTGCTCCAGCGTGCACATGCTGCCCCGCCTCGGAGACCTCAGGGTCAAATCCCAGCTCTGCCCGGCCTGGCTGTGTGATCTTGCCCCTGACACGGAGCCTTGCTGGGCCCCAGTGTCCTTGTCTGTGACATGGGGATGCGGGGTGCGTCCCTGAGAGCCTCGTTGGGAGGACTAGCGGAAGAGGGGAATAAAAAGTGCCTTTGCTGGTAAAGCCCATCGGTGGCCCACAGTGGATGGCCTAGAGCCCGCGGCTGTTCCCCGCGGCATTGCTCACCAGCCCTAGGTTCTCAGGCTCAGAGGGGAGCGAGCCTCTGGGAAATGCTTTTTGGATGCTGGGGGTGGTGAGAAACAGCCTGGTGTGTGAGTGTGTGTGTGAGTGAGTGTGTGTGTGTGTGTGTGTGTGTGAGTGTGAGCTTGAGCTTGCGTACCTGCGAGGCACGGGGACAGTACCTTGGGCCACCATCCTCTTAACTTGGCATCCACCCTGGAATTCGGTGTTTGGGAACCATCACCTGCCTTTGCAGAGGGGTTGGGAGGAGTAAGACACCCTGACTCCCTTCTCTGCCCAAGCCCCCAGCCCACAGAGACCCTCCGCAGTGAGTGACACGGACAGGAGCCAACTTCCCAGCGCTTGGAGGGGGTTTGGGGATAGATGCTGAGCAAATACTGACCATGCCCCACCATTCCTGCCTTCTCAGGCCAGGTTCTGGGAGCTGTTAGGCCGGAAGGTGGGGGTTGGGGCTGGGGCTGGGGCCAGGGCCGGGTCTCGTGTGTGTGCTGGGGGCCTGCCAGCCCCGGCTTTTTTCTGGGATGATGCCCCACCGGCCCCTGCCCATTGCAGTCAAGATGTGACAACAAGACAAATACTTTCTCGGACCTTTTATCTTGGACACCATTTATTTTCCCTCAGCCCCAGGGCAGGACTGACCCCGTGGTAGGGCCCTAGTGTGGCAGCTGCACCGCCCCTGGGGGCTGGGCCAGGCCAGGCCGGGCAGGGCTGGGCCACCCTGGCTCGGCTTCTCCAGGCCAGCTGCCTCCCTCCCGCTCCCTGCCCATCACTCTTTCCTGCTCCCTTCCCCTTCCTCCCTCTTTCCCTCCTTCCTGTCTCGGTCTGGCTGCTTCTCCTCTCACCCAGGTCTCTCTCCTGGGTCCTTCTCCCTCCTGGTCTTCATCCCTCCCCCTCTGTGTCTGGTCCTCTCTGCCTGCCCCCTCCCCACCATCTCTGTCCTTTCTGCCTCCTTCCCTGGACCCCAGCTCTCGCCCCTGGTCCCCACCGCTCCCAGGCCCTCTGCTGCTGCCTCTGCGGGGCCTCCGTCCCTCCGTGCCCCCCTCCTGGACGTCTGGCTGTGCTGGGCAGACCCAGGTGGCGCTTTTCCCTGGGAGCTGCTGTCCAGTTGCTGCCAGGGAAGGGGCAGCTGGCTGGCCCGGGCGGGAGGGAGGTGCCCTCCTGGGGAGTCCCCCCAGCTCTGCCTGGCCCCTCCAGGCTGGGAGAGCACAGGGGGGACAGACTTTGGTCTGAACCATCTGTCCACGCCCTGAGACAGGAGGCAGGAACTCGGGAGGGAGAGGCGCCTGTGTAGATAGCGGGCCCTTCTCTCCAGAAGCCACTGGCCCCCATGTTTCCTCTGCCCCAACTAGAGACCCGGGGAGTCTCACTGCTGTGTGCCCTCAGGCAAGCCCTTGGCCACTCTGGGCCTCAGCTTCCCTCCTGGACACGACCAGGGCGGCGAGAGCAGTGACCGCGTGGGGATCGCCGAGGGCTCTCGCTCAGTGTGACGTTGGCTCAGTGGGTCTGGGGGCCCGGGCCCAGCTTTTCTCACCAGGCTCAGGCGGTTCTGGTCCTGCACGTGGAGGGTCCAGGGCCCAGCCCATCTTGGCTGTTCTCCGGCTCCACGAACTCAGGCTTTAATAAGTCCCTCTCCAGGAATATGCGCTTCGCTCCCCTCCCACCCCCCCCAGCACCCAGGGCAGCACGGGGCCTTGCTGGCACTGAGGCCACTCCATTTAAATGTCGCATTAGAGACACAGATGGGGGGATGGGACCCCATCTGTGAACCCCAGGAAAGGAAGCAAGACAATGGAGCCAATTGAGGCTTCCAATCTAGATAATCAATACCAATATTATTGAGAGGGTGATTTATGTGGCCAAGCCACGCCAGGAGGACGGAGCTGTGTCGGGGGCCTGCCCTACCTGTGGGGGAGGGGCAGCCAGTAGTCCCTGGTCAGGGAACCCCGGGTGGTCCAGGAAATTGCTCGCTCCATCTCAGGGCCCAGCCCCGTGGAGCGAGTGATGCCATCGGAGACTCGCATTCATACCCGGTTAGAGCCCAGCCTGGGAGTTTCAGTGAAGATCAAGCATGAACAGGATCCTATGCATGCCTGGAATCTGGCATCCCCACGCACACTCCGGACCTCAGATCCCATGCTAGACTCCGTGGGCGGGCACGGGGTGCAGGCGCACCCTGGGGTGCCCTGCCCAGGCGCTCTCGGCCTGCTTCAGGGCAGTGAGCAGTCTGGTGACATCTGAGGGGAGTCGGCGGGGCACCCGCAAAATGCCGTCCTGCAAGAGGGTCTTCCCGTGGTCTCCAGCTCCGTGGACTTTCCTTTCAGGGGCCTGGGTCACGGGGTCCCCTATCCCGTACTCACTCCCCTGACCAGATCTGGCCATTTCTGCCCCTCTCACTGTGGTTTGAGCCTTGGGTGCTCCTGAGGGCTCCCCACCTTCCAGTATCAGCTTGAAGGTGACCCTCGGGGGACCCTTCCTCCCTCAAGGGCATTTGGAAGTGGAGCTGGAGGGATGGGCCCTGACCTTTGGCTGTGTGGGCTTCTCTGCCCCTAGACCTCTGCCCTCAGGAAGTGAGGTCACGGCGAAGACCTTCGCTGCCCACGTTTGCTGTCCACGCACTCGTTCCCCAGGAAAGGGACTGGTGTCGGGGAGCAGCGAGGGGTGGGTAGACGGGCTGAGACCAAGACTTCTGGGTTGGTCAGCCTGGGTTTGAGTCCTGCCTGGGTTTGAACTCCGTCACTGTGTGACCTGGGACTCGGTTTTCTGAGCTGTGAAATGGGGCTGGCTGTGTGGCTCCGCAGGAAGATATGTGGGGAGGGCCGGGGCTTCTGCTGAGCTGGTGATGAGAGTGGCAGGGGATGCTCCAGTCCCCGTCACCCTCATTCTGGCACCTGTGGGAGGGGAGCCAGGAGCAGTGTGAACCAGGAGCAGGGTCCCAGGAGCAGGGTCCCGTGGGCTGGCTGGTATGGCTGAGGCAGCCGAGACCCCGCTCTCTGAGCCCGAAGCCCAGTGCTCACCCTCCACACGCAGCCAAATGCAAGATGGTCGCTGCTCCCAAAGGCTCTCCTCTCACTTCGAAGGCATCCAGGTCAGCGCAGCCTGGCTCGTGGTAGCCACTTCAACCCCAGGGAGCCTTTGTGCTGGCTGCCCCCTGGGCCCGAGAACGCTCCTCTCCAGACACCTCGTGGCTTCTGTTCAGCTGTCCCCTTGCAGAGAGCGCCTCCCCCGTCCCCGCTTGGGAACATTTCTCGTGCTAGCACTTCCGCTGCCTGACGCTCTGTTATCTGTTTAGTTATCACTCTCCGCCTCTCCTGTTACAATGCACGCTCACTCAGGGCAGGGTTTTTGTCTGTTTCGTCCACTGCTGTGTCCCCAGGCACAGAGCCAGCCATAAACAGGTGCCCAATCAATGCCCGAGCCAGTGCACGGATGGCTCACGTGTGCTTCCGGGAGTGCTGAGGGCAAGGCTCCCCCAGGGCAAGTGCTCTGCACACAGTAGGTCCTGCCGGCGAGTCAGCTTCTTACTGTGCAGCATAGCCAGCTTCCCCTCGGGGCTCTCCCAGCTGGGAGGGGCACTGATTCTCAGTCCAAACCCGTGCCCTCTGAGCTCATGTCCCACGAATTCTGTCCCCAGAGGAGTGGCCACCCACACCTCGCTGACTCCACAGCTGAAACGGCCAATTAGAGCCACAGCGAGGATGAAATATAGCCCCGGATCAATCCTATTGATTCTTCCCCTCTTCCTCCCCGGCGAGCCCACATGGCCTGCCGGCCTCCTCGGGGACTTGGGGAAAAGGAGAGCCATGGGCACCTCTGGAGAACGGCCATCGCGTGCGATGCTGAAACATCTCCAGAAAGGACCCCTTCTCCCTACCCCCCCACCCCCCCTCCCCGCCTCCCTGCAGCTCGGAGGAAGGGAGCCTGATTCCTAGGCCCTCCCGGTGCCTTTGTGGCAAGGACAGCTCCTCGCTGCAGGGCGACACCTGGAGAGCGGCCAGCAGCTCCGTCAGCATTGGAAGGTAGCGGCCAGCCTGCTGCCGGCCACCCTGTGCCGGCCCACGTGCTTCTCCTGGCCCCCGGCTCCCCTGGGGTGCTCACGGATCTTGGGGTTTACGCGGAGGCTTGGCAGGTGGAGGTGGGAAGAAACCCGTTCCGGCTCCCCCTCGCTGGTCCTGTTTTCCCGTGTCTCTCTTTGTACGTGTCCCTCTGCTTCTCCCTTCAAACCAAAGTCTTCAGACCAAAGATTCCCACTGGGGAATCACGGTGGGATCAGCCAATCCATCACCCAACCAATCAATGTCCCTTCTCTGTTCTGGGCCATCACAGGCCTGCCGCTGGTCTGCCCCCCTCTGCCTACCTCGGACTCTGTCTCAGACTAGCTCTGGAGTTAATACTCTGCCTGTGTTCAAATCCTGGCCCTACTGTGTGACTCTGGCAAGGAACTTAACTGCTCGGTGCCTCCGTTTTTTCATTTGTAAAAGGGACATAACAGGGCATCCCTCTTAAGGTTGTGAGGAGCTAGTGAGACATTCCACAGTCAGACTCAGAGCACAGTGCCCAGCAGAGGGTAAATGCTTAAGTAAGTATTAGCTGCTGTTTAAAAAATTACCATTGTTACGCCATCCACTTCGGAGAAACGGGGGTGGCATCGGGGGTGGAATGGGGGGGGGGACAGCATGTGTTTATAGAAAGGGCTTTCTGGCCAGTTCCTTTTTCTCCCACTCTTTTCCCTTTTCTGCTTTCCTCTCTGGATGCTGCAGCCTGGGAGCTTCTGGCCCCCAGCCATAGGCAGGTGCTGGGCTCCCGCTCTGTGCGGAGCCTGCTGAGACTGGCTGTGTTTCCTTTCAGGGGCCTGGGTCACGGGGTCCCCTATCCCGTACTCACTCCCCTGACCAGTTCTGGCCATTTCTGCCCCTCTCGCTGTGGTTTGAGCCTTGGATGCTCCTGAGGGCTCCCCACCTTCCAGTATCAGCTTGAAGGTGACCCTCGGGGGATCCCTCCTCCCTCAAGGGCATTTGGAAGTGGAGCTGGGGGGATGGGCCCTGACCCTTGGCTGTGTGGGCTTCTCTGCCCCTAGACCTCTGCCCTCAGGAAGTGAGGTCACGGCGAAGACCTTCGCTGCCCACGTTTGCTGTCCACGCACTCGTTCCCCAGGAAAGGGACTGGTGTCGGGGAGCAGCGAGGGGTGGGTAGACGGGCTGAGACCAAGACTTCTGGGTTGGTCAGCCTGGGTTTGAGTCCTGCCTGGGTTTGAACTGCATCACTGTGTGACCTTGGGACTCAGTTTTCGGACCTGTAAAATGGGGATGATAATAATAGTTCTAACCTCATGGGATGGCTGTGAGGATTAAGTGAGACAATGCATGGTAGGTTGTTAGAACAGCGCCCAGCACATCATAAGCTCTAAATTCATTCTAAATGAATGTAAGTTACTGACACTTCCTAGGGAGGCAGAACGGAACAGGGCCTTGCAGGTCACCTAGTCCTGGCCCAGAGAGGGACAGGGTGTTTCCCTTTGTCACACAGCAAGTCAGAATATGTGATGGTCGCCCCGAGGCTGGGGATGGGTGGGTGGGAGCTCAGAGACCAGGGAGTGGCGGGAGAGACCCCACCCGTGGGGAGCAGAGGGGCTACGGGCAGTGGCTGTGGAATCAGAGCCTGGGGCCGAACCTCTGCCCTGCTCTGACCAGCTGTGCCTTGGGGCAAGTCTCTTCACCTCCCTGAATTTCATGCTCTTCATGTTACTCATACCTCCCTCTCAAGCGAATTGATGCATTTAGTCAACTTGACTGATTGGTCATTTACTGGGAGTCCGGGATGGGCCAGTGCTGGATGGAGATCACAGCGGTGAATAAGACAGGCCAGGTCCTGCCCGCTTGGAGCGACCTTCGGTGAAGACAGACAGACAATAAAAACGGTAGCAAATAAGACAATTGGAGAAGAGCCCTGAGGACAGTGGAGCAGGGGGTGGGGGTGCTGGATGGGGGAGGCTAGTAAGACATTGGACAGCATGGCCAGGAGGCTTCTCTGAGGAGGTGACACTTGAGATAAGTCACTAGGGGAAGCTCTGGGCAAAGCATTCTCCGGTGAGAGGGAACAGCCAGTGCAAAGGTCCTGAGGCTCCGGTGTGCGGGATGTGTTCGAGAGGAGCAGCAAGGGGGCTGGCTGGCTGGAGGGCTGTGGGGAGGGGCAGGAGGTGGGATGGCCAGCAGGCACCGGATCACGCACCCTTGTGGGTCCCTGTAAAGGGGCTGGATTTTCAGTGGGTCGGAGACTCCCCGGGGGCCTTTCAGCAAGGACCCCCCCCTGACGGAGGCGTGGAGGGGAGACTGGTGAGGGGCAGGAGCGGCAGAGGGAGGAGGCTGTTGAATTGTGAAGACTGGAGGGGCTGCCAGGGTGCTGAGGAGTTCTGACGAGGAGTCGGGTGTGTTAATATCATCGCGTCCTCCGGCCACGGCATAGTACAGGCCTGAGAGCAGAACGAAGCGGCGAGGAGGGGTTTCAAGCAGATGCACTTGGGGCTTGGGGCTTGGGATTTGAGTCATGGAGGGAGGGGCGTTGACGCTGAAGACCAGGCAGGCTGTGGGGAAAACCTGGCCTGGGTGGGTGGGGTCTCTCTCTCTTCCCCCCCTTCTCTCTCTCTCTTTCTGAGAACTGCTGCTGCTATTACTCCCTAAAGACTTTACATAATTCTGGCCCGGCTCCCTCCTCATTATGTCATGCGCGCCCAGTGGAGTCTAGGCCAGTCCATGGCTTGCTGCGGTTGGGGGAGAACAGACTTCTGGCTCCCCTGGCCCGGCGGCCGGCACAGACCCTTCCCACACTGGGGTGGGGGCGGCTAGGCTTTCGGGGGTGGGAGGTGCAGTCCAGCCCCAGCCCCAGGCCCTTCGGATGCTCCTGCAAAGGCCAGGGCTGCCTGCGGTGGGCTGGGCTGTGGCTGATGGGTGGGGGAGGGCTGTGTTCGGAGCTAGTCTCCCTGAGCCGGGGTCCTCCCCCGGAGCCCAGGCCCCAGTAGAAGGAGGCAGGAGACCTGGAGTCGGCCCTCCTCAGTTCCCTTCACTGTAAAACGGGGACAGAATACTCAGGCGTGTGGGGATGTGTGACTTCAGATCGGGCGGCAGTAGGAGCTGTCCCTCCCCCCCCCCCCTGGGAGCCACTTAGGGTTGCTGCGCCCCAGCCCTGTGGTCTCATCTCCTTCCTAGTGGCCCGTCCCTGCCCCTGTCCTAGAGCCTGCCCCCAGTCTCAGAGAGTCAGGATAGGGTTGAGCCCCCGCCTTGCACAGGTAAGGAAACGGAGGCACACGGGGAGGGGGTGGAGGTCACGCGGCCCAGGATGGCAACACCGGAAAGGGAATCAGACCCCGTAAGTCCCAGCCCAAGGCCTTGTCTGATGTGTGGGGTGCTGGCGACCCCCGAGGCCGCTGAGGAAGTTCAGGCCGGGGGCAGGTGTGGTCCACCTCCGCCCTTTCGCACGCACACCTGACTTTTCACAATGTGCATATGTTTTTCTTTTGGGAAAACAGTTTTGTTTTGCGGTTGTTAGGACCCTTGAACGACAGGTACGGAGTTTCCCCCACCCCGCCCCTGAGGACAGGCGCCAGCCCTTTGCAGCATCGTTCTGGGTAGTCCTCATAGTAACTATGGAAGATCAGGGATGCTTGCCCCCATTTTACAGGCGGGGAAACTGAGGCCCGAGGTCATGCAATTGGGTCAGCGATTTAGACTCAGGTCTGTGCTCTCCAAAGCTCCCACCTTCCCTGACACACGCTGCCTCCTTCCGAAGCTCCTGGGATCGCAGACCCTCCTGACCCCACAGCCCATCCCCAGGAGGGTCTGCGATCCCAGGAGCTGTGAGGGAGGCAGAGAGCCCGGCCCGGGGCTGCTGGCATGTTTGGGCCTGGGTCCCCGGGACCGAGCTTCCAGGGAGAGTTATCGGGCGTTGAATTGGGGAGCAGCGGGGGCCTGTAACCCCTATCTC